ATTTTTAGCCTACCAAAAACCTATTCAGGCAAGAACGGATTAACACGTTTTCTAAAAGAAAGTGAATGAGTACAATGACGACAAGAGCATCTATACTTTTCTCTTTCATGGAAGATATTATCAATTCCCTAACAAAATCTCTCCTCCTAATGCTTTCCTATGGGCAATAGATTTTTTGTAAAATTTGTCACCGCAGCCACTGTCAATTCCAGGAATATTGTTAATTACGGAAGAGTTTTCTATACATACTCGAATTTCATAGTTTAAATAGGAGAGTGTGTGAAATTAAAAGTATTTCTATCGATAAATAGACGGACAAAAGATGTCATTAAACTAGAATATTTAAAAAGAGAATGATGTGACCCATAAAATTAGTTGACAGAAAAATATTTGACAAATCACTTTTCATCTTATTATAACTTAATAATTGGCATAAGTCAATATTTTCCCTTTAAAATTAATTCATTCAACTAACAAATGGAAAGAGGCGGTAGATCTTTCTCTTTGATTATCCTTACTCTCTTCTCTTTTTATTCTTCCTAAGCTTTTTTTTCTTTCAATCGCCCTTTCACATATATACTAATATATATATATATACATTCATAGGTCTTGTAAAGTCTATATCTATGTCCCTGTCTGTACCGTTCTATCTCTGTTTCTCTCTGTCTCAATCTCCATTTCTCCTGACATGTCTTTCTTCTTTTTTCATCATCCTCTGTTCTAAATTTTTCTTTTTTTAGTATAAGTTTTGCCTAAAGCTACCTAGAATCTGTAACGTTGATAATTTCTCTCTTCCTACCCTCAAGTTGTAATTTGTTTAGCATGGAAATTTCATTTCAGTCATATCTTCTTAATAAATTATTATATAGTAACAAACTAGTAAATCTATATTAATTGAAAACCGTTCATATTTTTAATTAAATTGTTATTGAACATTAATAAAGTTAATATATAGCAAATAATTACTAATTGATGCTACTCTTTAAAGAAACAATTTCAATATTTTCAATAAAATATGATTTTACTTTTTTATTACTTACTTAAAAGCTCTATTAAAAGGTATTATTAGAAATTTATAGGCCTATTGAATAAGATCTCAATCATTTTTTTGACATTTTAAAAATGATTTCCTTGTACATAAGCTTAATCAATTTTACAGATTGACGTTTTGTTTTATTTTTAACCTAGAAATTCACTTATTCTCGAACTGGAACTGCTTACGTTCACTCTTTTTTGCAGTTTTTTACAAAGCATTTCTTCGAATTCAGTTGGGAATGTTTTCAAACGGATTTAAGAGGGAGATATATTATTATTTCACTTATTTTAGAGAGACTGAGTGAGCAGGTGATTTTGAAAGGAAGGAAAAGATTGAAAGATGTTAAAGGAAGATTAGTTTTTATCAATTATACTAAGAAGAAGGATCCGAATGTCTTATTTCATCATCGCTTAAAAAGCTATTTTAGATATTCTTCCTTAAATTATTTATACTAAATTCGTTTATTAGCAATGTAATTTATTATTAATGTTGATTTTTTAAGGAGTTTATATACCATCCTCTTTTTTAAATTATTTTTAAAGGCTATTAGAAAGACTGACATTCTTAAAGATTCGTTGATAATTCAAGCTATAGCTCTGAAGATACATCAATGCTAAAGTTATTAGTGGAACAATTGGACGACGGTCAAGACGAAATTACAAGTTGGGAATAAGAAGTCAAAGTGCTAGCCCAAGGAGACCAATTAGGTACATTGAACCGCCGATGTCACTCTATCCCAGAGCCACTTTCCCATTCAGAGATCTATCTATATTTTCCTTATACCGTCTTTGTCATTGCTAAGTCGAAATAAAACGACTACCGATAGATGGCATATAGATCGATAGAATGTCTTAAAAACTTGCCAAAGCTTTTTAGCTAATCAATATACGGAGCCTGGCTCGTTTCGACGGTAATCGAATGTAGTAGTTCTTATCTTTATTATTCTATTTTTATTGCTGCTTATTTCGGTGTTTAACCTACTTTACATTTTTTTTCTTTAAGCTTTAACCGCCAGCTAATTGTTTAATATTTGATATTTTTTTCCATAAACGAAATAAAAACTATTGCATTTCAACCGAGCTTTTAAGAATCGTTTAGTATTACCTGTTTAAAGACGGAAGTTTGTCACGACTCTCTTTTTTACTGTTTGATACAATTCCTTCTATACTTATATTTACATATTTTAACTGTGTTTGCCCATTTAAGATAGATACTTTATCATACAATAAAAACTCTAGGCGGGAAGAATTTTTTTTCTTTTTATTTTATATATTTGCCTACAAAAAAGTTATTCTGAACAAAAAAAAGTTTCCAATCTCTTTAAAGGGCCTTAAACCAATTTATGCCCTTCGTCAAGAGCATTCGACAATATCCTATAAAACCATTATATATTGTTTATACATAGTATATAAACTATATAAATACAGATTGGAAAAGACAAATCCAAGTATCTATGCACACATTTTATATAAAATTAATTAATATATCAACAAGAATTAATTATTTATGTTTAAAATGAATATATATGCTGTATATGTGTGTTATTAAATAAGGCTGTGTATTAAAAAAGATAGAGATTATCATATTAACTAAAAGATTTAATACTGTATATTCGATCAAGTTAACCAAGTATTAAGTTTTAAATAAAATGAATATGAGCTTTCTTATTCTATTAGTATTTGTAAATATATATATACAGTATATATATATACTGTATATATAGTATATAGTATATTGTGAATATAATGAAAAAATCCTACAGTACTTTAATTCTATATTTTTTAATTTCTTTCTGGAAAAACTACTTATACAATAAAAAGCACTGAGAGGGTTGGAAGAGGAAAGTGACGGAGTAAGATTAATTAGATATTGAAAGTCTTAAATTATAATTACACGCGATGGATTGAAAAAAATCAATATTCTATTACTATATTTGGTTCTAACACTCTTTTTTTTTTCTTAGATAAAGAGATTTACTCGAATCTTGGGATGCAGTGTATGAAAAATATCTTGGAAAAAAATTCCTTTTTTAAAATATTTTAGGCCTATTTTCTCATTCTCATTATTATTTTCAACTGTTCTGCTTCCTTCTTTTGTTTTATTCTATTCTTGCCTTTCATTCCATCTTACCAATATATATATACAAATGCACGGTTCAGCTAACCAATGCAACCGTTAATTAATCAAGTTTAATTATTAATAGAGCAGTATTCTTTTGTAATTTGTGACAAATATTTTGGTTGTTAGTAATATTATTACTTATTCATCAAAGTGATAATAAAGATTTCATTATTTTCCTTCTTTTTTCCTCAACCACTCTATGACCTGCCTTCGATAGTATGATATTAGAATTGACATGACTCTTTTAACTGTAAAAAAAACGTGTACAAAGGCTAAATTATATATCAAATCTCGTCAAATTTTAATCATAGGCAAACTGTACGAAGAAATGAGGAAAAATTCTTTACTTATCAAATTTCAGCGAAATGTTATAAGTCACAAAAAGAAATAAGAGATATTATAATACCGTCAAGATATGGCATCTAGTGACGTAATAGTTTTTATTTTTTTTAATAGTAGTAGTTATTTCTAGCAAATGATTTCCTTACGTTACAAAACGTTCTTAATATGCCGTTGGTTATTGAAATATATATTTTGTATAGGCCTTATAGAAAATTTTAAGTATAGTTTACATATTGAACCATGTATAGTAAATCAGTATATATATATATATATATATATATTAGTCATATTCCATATACAACTGCCTAATAGAGAGGGTTTTCAAACAAAATAATATTTCAGAAACCTTATTTCCATCGGTACAATAGTAATATTTAAATTATATACTGTACAAATAAGTAAGAGATTATTCTACACGGTCGCTTTTACAAGACCCTTGAGTATTTCCCGTTGAAGAAAAATAAACTACAAATCGATTTTGGCTGCTGTTCAACCGACTGTATGTTATTTTTTTTTTCTCTGTAACATAGAGAAAAATAAGATATATTTTGTACTATATATATATATATTATAATATATGCTTCCTATCTCTTTTAGCTCTTAAATTGGCCTTAATTTACAATTGTCCTAATCAGACTTTTCAAAGACCTCTTTACAACAGTATCAGTGTACGATTGTAAATAATACATTAGAGGAGACAGGAACGTCTATCGTCCGTCAAAGTAACTGATAACATCTCTCAAACGAAATTACTCTCTTGTATTTAAAAGTTTTTATGGTAAAAATTTAATAGACTAATATATCTTCCTTGTTCATTGTACACAGTTAAATTATTCTATTTATCATTATATAATTGTAAACAAGCTTATAGCCTCTAAATGCATACAAATGTAGATCAGCCACAATTTACCATATGGGGTGTATTCTGCAATGTAAACATACTGTATATGATAATGTATATATGTATATATTCATATTCTGTATAAGCTTTCTCTATGTTAAGTGTTTATCTATACTATACATGCTGAAATTAAATAGGCATCCATAATTCAGCCAGCATGATTGTTTTTTGTTTAAATCATCAAGGTTAACATATCTACAGTATATATACTGTTTACTGTATATATAATAATATACAGTATATATATACATATATATATATATATATATATATACTGTTTTTTTTTAATATAAAAGAGAGGTTCATGTTGAGTGAATTAAAACTTTTTCAGTCTTATTAGCTTATATGGACATTATCTCCTTCTTACTTTCGCTTATATTATTAAATTGCGTTCCTAAATCTTCTCCATTTCTTTTTATATAGAATAAAAAGTTATTACTTCAAATAACACTCTATTAAATTTGTTATCTTTCTTCTGTATTATATAGAATATAATACATTTTATATTTTAAATACCATACGTACATATTGTATTTAGATATATATATATATATATATATATATAATATATAATATATATTTATATTTATAAGATTTCATATTGTATTTAACTTTCTGAAATTTAACGTTGATACTGCTCAATATTTCTCTTCATTATATCCAAACAAGGCCCTAATAATCTTTCGAAAGAATCCCGATCGACGAAAGCGCACTTTACCTTGCCTAAAGCGTAGACTGAAGCAGACCTAGGTTGTTGCTCAACAAGAGCCATCTCTCCAAAGTATTTGCCTTTGCTTTGACGAGCGACTTCTTCGGGGCCTTTACCCTTGTGATCGACGAGAACTTTAACTTTACCGTCTTCTATAAAGTACATTCCATCAGCTTGATCACCTTCTTTAATAATACAATCGCCATCGTTATAAGATTTCGTTACAAGAGCATCTGCTAAGCTCATACGTTCGTACTCCGTTAGAGATTTAAGCATTGGTACCGAATCAAGGAGTTCTTCGTACAATTTTCGCTTCATATATGTACTTTTGAGGACTATTCTACGGAAAGAGTTCCTGTCCATAGCCCATAGTGATCCTACAGTTTTAGCTACGACAGTTGCAGATCTGGGCATATTATATAAAAGGGCCATCTCTCCAAAACTACCTGTTAAAGTATAAAAGAAAAAGTATAGAATAAAAAATATATGAAAAAGTGGCTTTTAACGGAATTGATCGAAACAAATATGGATTGGATTACGAGAGGAAATAATCGAGCCTCGTCTGCCATATAAAGCGTTAGTAGCGTGTGTATATAGTCGATATATAAGTATACAGAATGCACAAAGATGAAAAGCAAGTCGTTTAATCCATTCTGCTCTTCGTCACTCGCTTTCCCACTATGGAAACTAATAATTCCATTCTAAAAATGGAATCGATTATCGAAATTATTAAGTGTAAACGATATCGCTTTTTTCCTTTTGTTTATATTTACAAACCAGGAGAAGAAAACAGTTTCAAAGTTCATTTTACTCATTTTTTTTAGTACTCTCTCTTGGTTAAAGTCTATATTCATTTTAATTAGTTGCAAATGTTTCTAAATTTCTTAGTAAAACAAATGAAAGAAATAGAAAATAGCATGAAAAACAACATAAATAATTGTTAAATAGGCAAAAAGTTGTATACTTATAAAGACAGAATCCAATTATCTATTTTGGAAACCCAATAAACTAATAACATCTTAGACTGAACTAAGATTAAATTCTTAAGTATAGATGAGATAAATGATAATTAAAGCGTCACTTTCCTTAGTAATAAAGATAGGGCGTGTAACCAAAGCACTAAGTAGAGACTAAAACAAATAATGTATAACAATGTATTATCGACTAGTATCATGGATTATATTTTTTGACTTTATTGAGTAGGCCGTATGCCAAATTCAATCAATTTCTCCAAATTAGCCAACTCAGTTGGAATGTCGTTTAATAATAATATACAGAAAGGAGGAACTAAGTAAAACAAAGCTTTCCAGCTCTCCTACTATTTCTCCCACTCTCTTTACATTACATGCAACTTCATGTCTCATCCCTACCCACTACCATACTTTTTCTTCTAGTCTCCTATTCTAATTTTTTCTATTGTTACACGTAACCGAACGCTTCGTCTTCTAGAATGACAAGTGGATTATTTATATATTATATTAGATTAGGTATAACATAGGTACCAAAAAACCACTAAAAAGGGTAGCCTGTCTATACGAAAGAGAAAGTATAATACTTTCTATATAGCTATTATACTATTAAAAAATTTTCGGTATATATTAGTTAAGAAAACATTAAAAGAACAGATCGGTCGATATGGGCTGATAGGGGTTGTAAATATTTCTTGATTATGATATACAACGTACAGTTCAACAAGTAGAGTGAACAATACAACTGTTAAATGATATATACATATGGTTTAATGGAAGAAAACATTCTGTAAAACAAGAATTAAATACTTAAAAAATGTAATACAAACTCTTATATAATATATATTAATAATCTGAAATATGGATTATTTCCGTCAGAATTTTTATTATACATTCTTTTTTTATCTGTCAAATAGCTAGAAAGCACGTGTCATTTGAAAATTCATACACATGTGCTTAAATTCAACAGGCCTATACTGTACTGATTTCAAATTTCTATACAATATTTATGTTATACTTTTAATTAGTCTACGCATAAATCGTTAATCATTAAGTACTTTTTGCTTGTGAAAGTTCTAATAGACATTGTCTATTTTTTTTAAATATGATAAAATGAGAGGAAATGAAGGTAGAAATTAAAATGGTTAATGAAAAGATACTAAATGAATATGTCCTGGAAAATTTGCACATGACAATTAATTGTAAATGAAAAACAGTATAAAACGAAAATAAAAAGTGTTCTTCTTCTCCCTTTTTTATTCTTCAATTCTTTTCTTTTGTTCAATTGGGAAAAACATGAGTAATTTAATACATAAATGCTTTCCTCGTAGATGATCAACAGATTTACTTTGTTTAGAAATAAAAGGTGAAGGTGGAAACGATATTGTCCTATTTTTTTTAGATAGTGAAAAAAGAAATAAGCATACCGGAAACGTTGGGCTAATGCAAGTAAAATGAAGCCAATTAAAGAGAAGCATAAATTAACAAAACTACTATTAGAATTTTGATTAATCACTCTTTCTCTCACTATATTAGTCAGAATGTAAGCGTGTTGTTTATTAGTGTCGATATTCCTCTTTCGACCTAATCCATCTATCTATCTAAAAATCTATCTCTTCCTTCTTTTTCTCTCATTTTCTCTCTCTCTCTCTCTCTCTGTCGCTCTATACACTGCTCGTTTCTCACACCCTGTCGCTTATTCGCTTATTCTCTCTGTCTCACTGTGTATATGTGTTAAAGGTTATTACCATTTTAACACCAATTAATCCTATGTATCAGTTTGATTATTCTGAAGCGTAGCCGATATAAAGATTCATAATTATTTTTGCTATTCTCATAAATAAAATGTGATTAAATAATCGGAAAAATGAATAATTTAACATATAATTACTATAGACTTCTTACAAAGAACAATTGATGTCAAATAGCGTATGTTGCTTTATTTTAACCATTTTTTACTTATATTACAGCAGTTTTATGATAAGAATAAGAGCGAGAGAGAGAGAGACAGAGAGAGAAAGAAAAGATATTCGATCCTATTTTGGTTCTTATCTGGTTCAATCACTTTTGGGTTACCGATTTATTATTCTAATCACATCTATCGAACATGTATTAGATTTTTTTACAATATTTTCTCTAATTGCTACTTTTCTTCGCCTTTTAAAGTTATTTATCAGTTTATGAGGCCTTAAACAGTGGTATCTCTATATGATGCTATATTCTATCTGAGTTAAGGTCATATGGCTTTAATCCTATAATTTAATCCTATTCATACTTTTTTAAACTTAGCTATGTGGGAGAGATTATAAAAAAAGAAACTTATAGAAATTATATATACTTATTTGAGCGTTCAAAGATAAAATAGAACAGAAAGCGTCATTTTCTTTGTTATCTTTAATGTTAGTCTGGCTTTAATAATGTATAATAAGTCTAGATGTTTTAGTTAATTTTGTCTATCCAGTGGTACAATTAAGACCAGGGTCGTCTCGTTTTAAAAATGTCAATGATTTGCAAATTTTTTCTTCAAAGTCTAATTCGGGACTATATCTAGTGACGCTAAAAAAGACTAGTATCTTTTTGACTGCCACTACTAATCTCTACCGTAAACTCATTCGGAATAAATTCGATTTGAAGAGTTAATAATCTTAGAAGAATATATATTTTTGTTTTCAGAGGCAAGTAATAATCTGAATTAATTCCTGTTTTAATCTCATTTGATGGCTTGAATAATTATATATCAATAAAACGAGAATATATACGTAGGTACCAAATATAGATGCACAGTTCTAGCTAGTGGATACAGTATATCAATTAAAATACATATTCATCCTATAAATCAACGTATTTTGTATATCATGTCACGAAAATTCCTGCAACTATTTATAATTATGTCTTATTAATAAGCCATGATATAAGTACTGTAGGATAGAATGAAAAAAAGGAGGGGAAAAGGTGAAAAGAGTAAACTATAAAACCATATCTCATTTTTCGTTTAAGTATAAAGTATTTATACAATGTAAATAATACAAAAAGGTAAACATCCGTACCTTTTTCCACAAATTCGTGCACCTTCCGTTCCTGGCCCTCATTGGTTACAAGTACATCGAAAGTGCCATGATCAATAACGTAGAAATTATCACCATCGTCTCCCTGCTCAATAACTCTCTGTCCAGAATCGACTCGCTTCTCGAACATGGCGTCTAAGACGTCCTGCATCTGTTCAGTGTCTAAGGAGCGGAAGATTAGGATACCTTGAACGGCTTCAGCCAAACGATCCCTCTGCTCGTCCGTCTTTGGATGGACAACTTTTTCGTCATCTTCATCCGCTTCAGGATCGTATCTTTCCGCTGAGACAGATTGCCTTCTAGCAAATCGTCCCTTTTTATTAGATTTTGGCTTAAAGAAAGCCGGATCCGGTTCCTGAGCCTCGTTCTCGTCATCAACAATTATGTACATGGGAACGCTCTTCGCCCTTCTCTGTTGTCTAGCCTTTTCAAAGTATTCTGCGGCAAAATCAAATAAATCCGACGGTCTTTGCCTTAAGACGGAGACGGTAAAATCCCTTAACATATCACCAAGACCTTCGGGAATTTCCAAATTCATACTGTGATTCGACGTCTGCATTTCGATCATCGTCTGACGGGTCTGACGAAAGAACAGTGTAAACAGACGTCAGCCGACGCCTCTTAATCATAATGGATAGGTGGGAAAACTAGCAAATGTCGAATCGATTTGATTTCGACGCCTAGGAAAAATATTTACTACAACATGTATAGGCCTATAATCATGTATAAAAATTTGTTTAACACAATAAAAAATTACTACTTCTCAAGAGAGTAACAGGAGAAAAGCAAGAGGGAAAAAACAAATTTATCTCCAAGTTCTCAAATAGGGATACTTACTGGATTATTCGCCGATTAAGGAAAGCTTTGACATTGTTGACGTCGAATCGACGTAGAGGATTTATACCTATTTATAGCAATCGGATCTGAGTAGAGAATTATCGTTTCAGTTGAAAAAAAGCTTCTTTATAACCGACTCGTACGCTTCTCTCTACGACAATGAAAGTACCAACAAGATAGAGGACGCTTAAAGAACTTTTCTCCTTGACGCCATCTATCGGATCTTATAAAATACCTTTTTTTAAAAAATCTATCCGTGAAAATTGTGAAACTCACGTTTGTAGCTGAAGGCTATTAGTGTATAGTATATTGCCGGTTAATTACATTCCTATTAAAAATCTGTTACACATACGTAAATGCAGCTCATCGTTAAGTCTATAAAAAGCGCCCTCATATAAAATATATAGTTTGTGTATGTATGCCAATTTTCCTTTCGATAATTATATAATTTGGACAAAATAAAATTATCTAGGCCTAAATAAATAAGACAATTTCTACAAAAAATATTTTATATTAATCAAAAACGGGTAGAGTTCGTGCGAAATGAAAAAAAAGCTCTTTTAAGTAAGGAGTTGTAGTACTTTTTTGGCACTTCACACATGGCCGTTATTTTTGAACTACTGTTGACTTAATTGAACTGTTTCGCAATGGTTTAATAAACATAGACCTTATACTATTTTTAAGGGTCGATTTTTCCTTATTCTTTAGTATAACTACACTATATTAAATATTTGTTTTTGTTATTTTTCCCCTATTGCTTCTTATGTATCTATAATTCTCTTTTTCTCCGTCTCTCTCTCTCTCTCTCTCCATCTCTCCCTCATTTTCTCTTTCGTGAGTAAAGAGAGAATAAGAGAAAAAATAATAGCATAAAATAACGTACGTTCTGTACATATTTTCTTATATAGGAAATAAATGAAATTTTACCTCCTACCCTCCTTCCTCATTTAGTATGAAAATACCGATGACGTCTAATAGTTTCCAAGAGAAATAGGAAGCATAACAACTAAGACGTAAAATGATAACAAGGGGATGAAAAAAATCAACCTATTATACAAAAAGAGGAAGAATTGTCTTTTTTCTTACGACAAAGACAGGAACTATAAATATTAATAATTCCTTTTCTAAAAATTTCAAAGAAATTAATTTATACTAAAGATAAAAGTATTAAAAGAAAGAGAATGGAAAAATAGCAGCTATTTCACAACTGAACGAGTTGTCCTTTATGGTTGAAATAATCGTTTTTTCTAACACCCCCTCCCCTTCTCTCTCTCACTTTCTCACCGTGTCTGTTGTCTCTATCTCTATCTTTCTCTCTATTTTTCCTATTTTCTTTCTTTCTTTCTTTCTCTTTCTCTCTCGCTTTCTTTCATCTTCCCTGCTTTATAAACATACGTAGACAATACAACATGTTTTCTTTACTTTGTTAGTAGTCTAAGTTTAAATTGGGCCTATAAATTATATTAATAACCTAATATAGTAAAAAATGGTATAATAAAATTGGTAGATTTAATTTAAATCGGCCTTTTTCTATAGAAGTTTTTGTCTTGTGCTTGGTAAAGGTTTTTAAATCGTTGATTCAATGATAATTGCACGTTGTGCATACTTTTGGGGGATCGTCATGGCATTCGGGTGATTTGATCAGCGCCATTATCATGTCGTTCTATTCTTTAAGAACTTTAGATGGAAAGGCGTCTCCATTAGTTGGTGAAATGGAGAGAAACGTCTTTAGAACCCCGCTCGTACAACGTTACCACTATGCAGCCGAATCTATGGCTAATATATTTAGTGAACAATATCGCTATTCGACATGGAGGAAATTATGGTGTTGGTTAGCTAAGGGTCAGCAGTCGTTAGGGTTAAAGATAACTAATGAGCAAATCCGAGAAATGGAATCGAATGTGCAAAATATTGATTTTGAGAAAGCCGCAGCTGAAGAAAGGAAGTGTCGACATGATGTTTTAGCTCATTTGAATGCGTTTACCGCTGCTTGCCCGTCGGCTAATGGTGTCATCCATTTGGGTTTGTGAAATAATTAATTATTTAGATTTTCGGGTAAATTAGGATGACCGTTATGCATTTAACATAAATATATAAAGTAATATAAGGTCATTTATTTACTACTTATATAGATGGAAGCATTACAGGTTAATATTTACTTAACAATACATTAATATGTTTACGTTACTTGGGTTAAAGAAGTTTGCGCTAAGCAATGGCTTAAAGCACATTCGGCAGCTAATACCCTTTGCAAAATAAGCTTACAAACTTGAAAAAGCTAATCGCTTAAGAACATAAGATAACAATTAAACCATCTACGTTATCCAGCAAAAATATTCCTTAAAGCAATTTACTATCAGTAATTACTTGCGGAAACATTCTATTTATTATAGTTTGGTTAAGATTGTGAAGTTGATTGGGACTATTAGCTAAGATAATAAATACGCTATTTAAGTGGGAAAGCTTATGTAAATGTTCTGACGTTTATTCTCTTTCTATTTACTTTTAGGTGCGACGTCAGCTTTCGTGACGGACAATACAGATCTGATAATGATAAGGGATGCTTTTGATATTCTGCTACCTAAACTAGCTAGATGTATCGATCGATTGAGTAGTTTTGCTGAAAAATGGAAAAGTCAAGCTACTTTGGGACTTACACATATGCAGTAGGTGGTCATTTTCTTGATTTGATAGTGGTGTTGCAAAACATTGTGATGCATATATAAATATAGTTTTTTATATGCATTTAAAGGGTTTCATAAAAACCTTTAAGGCTTTTTTCCATGAAAGGAAAGAAACCGAGGCTTTGAAATTAGAGTAACAATAAAATTTACAGTTTAAAATGTTAAAGATAAAGAAAAGCAAGCAAGGAAAAAAACATTGCAAAATTTCTCTTTATAAGTCTCACTATAACAGTGAGAGAGAGAGAGAGAGAGATTAAGAACTAAACTACAGATGGCGTTGTCAATCTGCTATTTGACAAAAAATTTTTTTTACAATCTAGAACTATATAGACGAAGCAGCTAAGCAAACAACGATAAAAACACCATATTTTGTTAAGACAAGTGTACTATCTGCTGTTAATAACAAAATCTGTTCGTGTTGCAGAATAAAACGCTAGCGTCACCATCAATGGTAAATCATCTTTCAGTCCTTGTCTGCTGAATTAATTTTTATTAAACACAACGTAAACTAAAAGGATAATATAGTTAATTCTCATTCTTACAATTATATATTAATATATTACTTTTAACCTATTAAATGATTATGTAATAAACAAGAATTTGACCGGTTGAAAGGATGTAATAGAGGAGAGAGAGGAGGGGGGAGGGAGAGGGAAAGAGAGATATGTTAGAGAGAAAAAAGAACGATAAAATATCTATCTATAAAAGAATATGTGCGTTTGTATTTTTTTCTCCCTTCTTCGTCAGAAGTTATAAATCAAATGAAAGAGGTAAAAAGTAATAGAAATATCAGTAATTTATCATTGTGCTTCAGTGATTTTTGCGTAATTAAAGATTATAAATTATCGTCTTAAAGATAGAATGAAAAGAAAAAAAATCTAACATTCTCTTCTTTTTCTTCTAGTTTTAATTGATTTATTTTACTTTTCCTTTCCTTTATATGTAAAAAAAAAATTTTTTTGCAGTTCAGTTTTTCCTTCTGTGTAATTAATTTATTCCTTTGATAGGGCAAGTTTACATTTGGTTAGAGTTATCCGATACCGTGATAATACTGATAATTGTAAACATAACAATGAAAATATTCTTTATTACTACTTTAAAACTGCCATATACTATCGTATAATTGCATAGATATAAATGAATAAGGTATCGTTTTACATATTTGCATATGAAAGGATATAATGAGAGTAACGCATACCTGATTCAAATCTACCAGGGACTGTACTTTTTTTAACAATTTAAGGTAACTAATAACCTGTATACCAATCAACTACAGACCTGCTCAACTAACTACTGTTGGGAAAAGGGCTTGTATGTGGATTCAGGATTTATTAACTGATCTAATACATATTCGCCGTTTACGAGACGGAATTAAATTTCGAGGAATTAAGGGCACAACTGGAACGCAAGCAAGCTTTTTAGAGCTCTTCGATGGGAATCACGAAAAAGTCAATCGTTTAGATAAATTGGTTACGGAAATGGCTGGATTTCGCAGGTTACTATAATCAAATAATATTTATTCTCCATAAAAACTAACCCATGACCTTGTTAAACTAATAATAATAGTGCTTACATAATTTGTGGTCAAACCTATACGAGGAAATTAGACGTCGATTGTATTTCTGCTCTTGCTGGATTAGGAGCTACCGTTCACAAAGTAAATATAGGCCTAACAAGTTGTTTTGTATATGCTTTTTTTTATATATAACTTGGCAGCAATTTCCTATACTTCATCCTCCCTTTTAATTCTTTGGTCCTTATGCTACTTTACCTTTTTCTTCCTTTCTCATTCATTGTCAGCTATTTCAACGGCTCTTGACCCCATATGAAATGGGACCAATTTTTCTCTACTTACAACACTTAGATTAGCCCGTATCATTTTGATTAAAGAAAATTTAACAAAATAAAATTGAAGAACCTCTTCTCTTTTAATTAAATATGAAAATATTTACAAAGGTTATAACTATTTATAATTTGACGAATACGATTTAAAGGCAAAAGATGACCAATCGATAAATCTTTTTTGTAAATAATCTATTATCATCTACGATCAAAAAGTCTTAATTATAATGAAAAATGTAGTTACCTTTTCTTCTATGCCTTCCTTAGAAAAGATATTAAACAAATATCACCCAAAAATAGAATTTCTATTGTTACTGCTGTTGTTGTTGTTGTTGTTGTTGCAGTTGGCGTTAATAAATATAATCTCTTTCTTTCTTCAATAGATGTGCACGGATTTAAGACTACTAGCTCACATGAAAGAGATGGAAGAACCGTTTGAAAAAGAATATTCCAGTGATTCACTGGTATATAAACGCAACCCGACGAGGTCGGAAAGATGCTGCTCTTTTGCGCGCCATCTGGTATCCTTAGTACAAAACGCGTATAACACTCATTCTGTACAATGGTTCGAGAGAACTATGGACGATAGCGCAAATCGAAGAATTTGTATACCGGAAGCCTTCTTAGCAGCGGATGTTTTGTTAAGCACATTGTGTAGTTTGACAGAGGGTTTAGTTGTCTATCCAAGAGTTATTGATCGCCATATTCGGCAAGAGTTACCTTTTATGGCTCAAGAGAATATTGTAATGGCTGCCGTAAGGCACGGGCAAGATAGGAGAAGGTGTAACGAAGAGTTTAAGAGATTAAAGAATGAAGCCGCCGGCGTCGTTAAAGTAATTCTGAAGTTAATTAAAACAAGAGCGCAACATATAGATCAAGAAACATCTCAAAGCCTTTGTAAAAAGGTCTTTTATCCCCCTAGTATTCCTTTCAAAAGAAAACTACTTGCGTGCTATTCACTCCCAAGTTTAACAACAAAATTGCTATAGCACCATTAATATTTGGAATATAAAGGAATTTTATCTTCTCTTTTCCCTCCCCCCCATTCCCTCATTTTTTTGGTTAAAGTTCGATTTATCTGATATACTAGCCGACTCTTTTGAAATTTTAAGTCTTTACCATCTGTTCACGCTGACGCCCTTCTTTAAAGGCGTCTACAGCAACATTTAAAAGATAGGAGGGAGAGAAAAGAGATATAATCAGGGACTTCTTACCCCTTTTCTTAACAGATAGAGATAATTTGCTATTACGCAAAAGCTAGGCCTAAGTTTAATTGTGAGAAAACTTCAGATTTACTTTAATAAAAGGAACAAGGTAGCGATAGCGATTTACCTAGCCGTTTAAGGCACTCACAGATCTTTTCTTCTCTCCGAGATCAACTTGATTCACTACTGGATCCATCAAAATATATTGGTAGAGCTCCTCAACAAGTTACAACGTTCCTCCATCAAGAGGTGAAGCCGGTTTTAAAATCTTTCGAACACAATTTACACACATCAGTTGATTGGCACATATAGAAAATAAGGCGGGAAGGGCGGGAATATGAACCGGGAGAGGGAAACAAGAAAATGGATTTGCATAACAGGGTGAAAAAGAGACAAATGATTTGGTTATATTGGAAACGTTAATACCGCAACTTTCTCTTTTTTTATCCCTTTATCTGTCTTCTGTTTACACCTATAGTATATATTTCTTTTTCGGGCGGCTTGAGTGAGAGGTTGGAACGGCAAAAATCAAGCAGCTTATATATACATTATGACGTCATTTTACGAGTGATTTCCCCCGAGTGATGGCGTCTTTTTACGTTAAATACATCCAATAGAAATCGACATGTTCTCGAAACCGCTTTCGAGAGGAGCTGGCTGGTTTTTCCTCTTTAAATCTACTCCTACATTTTTCCCTTTCTTATTTAAAATATATTTCTCATTTCTTTCTCCTGCTCTCCCTCCCCACGTAACATTCTAATTGTCTTCCCTTTCTTTCAACTATATCGGGGAATGTCTCTTCTAAATGAACGAGAATTGTATTTATTTCTATATTTATTTATTTACGCAATACAATTCGAATTATAGAAAATGATATATACAGTTCAAACTTATTAATAATTTTCAAGAAGTTTCTAGACCTATAGAAATACAGTTTACTTCAACAATTACGTAAAACTTTGATATATAATAGGATATTGTGAAGAGATTTTATAAATAGAAAACAAATCTTTATATCTTTCTTATCAAAATCATTGAGAGGGTAATAAGGTTGCCTGCTTTCATTTGTAGAAGATTAGCAATGCAAATTTAATAGGAGATTTTCCGTATAACTATTTCAATCGTAAACAAACGTTAATATAAGCTTTTCAAATATCAAAGCCTTATCTTTTCTTCTTTGCTCTTATTCTTCTCTTTCTTTAATTGATATAATGTTTATTAGATTATTCTGTATCATTTCCCTTTTATCATCTCCTTCCTCTGCTAAAGAAAAGAAACTTCTTTACTTTAATAAAAGAGGAATTAGTGACAATTGAAACTAAAAAGTACTTAATTAATTGTTCAATTTGTTGAAATTCAATAGAAGTCAAGTTAAGGGAGAAGTAATCTGTAATGTATTTAGAGTGAAAGTCTTAATTATATTGAGGATGTAATTGTTCTCTCAATAAGAACATTTGGGACATTTTTTTCCCTCTTCAATTAAGACGGTATTCATAAAACGAGAAAAAAAAGGAACGAAGAAGATTAGTCACGTGATTGGTAGTTGTAGGGAGATAAAGAAATTTTTTTCATGTATATTTCGTCTTTTATTCTTTATTTCATTCAGTCTCTTATGAATAAATCAATATAAGAACATCAAACGAGAGAAAAATCTAAAGAGTTGTTCTCACTACTATAGATGTTAAACGCCATTTTCAAGTGTGGCTAATATAGTCGGCAGTTTCTTCTTATTCCACAATGTTTTGCCACTCAATTAAACGGCAGCTGCGCTAACCATTGAAGGGTGAGATCTGACCGAGATAGTAGGGCGCCAGCCTTTATAATCACAGCCGTTATTAAGGTAATTTCGACGCCCAGTTACTCGCCTTGTATCTATATGTACGTAAATACATACACGTATATATATTATAGAGAAAAAGTGTTCGCACGCAAACGTTAATTTCCGACAGCAAGGTGAGGGCGTCTGTCGGCGTCTAATTAGTTAATCGATTCCAAAACTGCGCAATTTGTCGGCCAGACTTCAAACGAAAATAAAATAATCCGTAGAATCCGGCGATGCGCGTCTTTTTTCGTTATACAAATTAGCGCATGACTGATCTAGCGTAAAGAGACGTCAGTGCTATATGACGGCCATTTTGTCCCTCAAAACCGGGGTCATTATCAGCTCAGCGGGTTGTCGTCAAATATTTACTCAAAGACTTCTCTTGAAAGAAACATCGGGCGTCTAGACTTCGCCTGGCACGTCTCAGTTATGACGTCAGCACTACAGGGGGTCGAAATGAGATTAAAGGCGACGTTTTTGTTTGGCGAAATCGGGTTTGTTCGGTGCTCTTCCGAAAATAATTTTCAATTATTCAGACGTTCCTAATCCATTTTTCGTTCCACACAAAAGTGGTTTCGGCCGCTTGAGTTTCGTTGAGTATTGACATTCTACATTTTTTTGTTGGTGTTGAAAAGGCGCGATGACCGCGTACTTTGAGCGGACAAAAAGTCCTCATCCTGCTGCCCCCTCTTCCCCTCTAGTCTTTAACCACTTATCTTGAACGAGCATTCTATCCCTTCTTCCCCTACGACTCTCCCCCCCACCTCTCTCTCTCCTTTTTCCTAAGCTGTTACCATCCAAAGTCTATTCTTTATGTTGAGATATTTGAGTCAAATAGTAGCTGATTTTCATTCTCGAATTACAACGGACCAACTGCGAAATTATGGCTAACTAAAATTTTTATGAATAGAAGCTTTTTAGAATTGTATTATTATCAAAGAAAACACTTGTACAAAGCAGGTATTAGATTGTTAATTGATTATTGTTAGCAGTTATAAACAAAAGCTGAGAAAAACATTATTGTTATAAATAAAAAAGGTGTTTAAAAAGTAAATACCTGTTTGTTTCGACTTTTTTTTTTATTCAGAAACACATTTGCTCTTCACTTGACAAACTTTTATATTTTATTTATCAATTTCTTTATTAAATATTTATAAATACAGCAGAACAAAAACCTGTCCAATAAAAAAGGGAAATTTCTAATATATTAAATATTTTTCAATAATTCTATATGTTTTACAAATCAATTGAAAAATTGTGTCTTTTATCTTCTTTTCGTTCGGTATTGATGTTCAAAGGAAAATGACCCATTTTTTTTCGTGACTCGTCTGGATATGCTAACAAACGCAAAATGCTTTTAGCATTGTTATACCTATTTGATGAGCACTTTGTAGTTTTGTATATTGAGGTAATTAATATTTTTAACTATTAAATGTTATTGTTATTCTCATATATATTTCATCAGTTAAAATCATTAAAACTTTTCCTTTATAGCAGAGAAAGAAAAAATGATCAAAATTCCAGGGACAGAGGGGGTTGGGAAAAAAGCTGTAGACAATTCACACGAAAAGACGCCTCTAGATGTGAAAACTATTAGGTAGAAACATATTTAAAAGATGAGAAACAGAGAACGCTTCCGTTCAAAGGAACGCCTATTCTTTCTTCGATTTTTAATTAGACAACTTGAAATAAATTATGTATTCGCAACGGTGTGTTTGAAACGTGTTCGGGAAGGAAACGAGATAAACGGTCTTCTTCACCAAAAAGGATATTAATTCGAAAATAATTCTAAAATAACCTCTGTTTTTCACAATTTTATATGGGAGGCGGCAGATGGACAGGGCAAAAGAAAGTTGCGTGTACTTTTGATGACGTAATGGCAAATTATCAACGAACAAAAAACTGTGCGTGAGACTATGCGTGTATACAACAGAAGCGCAGCTGTTCAAGCGCTCTGCTTGACTTATAAAAAATATTAATAAAATACGAAATGGTCCTGCAGTTATAATTTCATGTTTGAGGCTATTTAAGGAAATAATGGAAAAAGGTATATAAACAATTAAAGTAACAGTTGTCAAATCGTAAGGTATTTTTTTGGTGTGAAAAAATATTTCCTCTTCTTTTTTTGTTCAAGTTCAAACGGTCGCATTCTATTACAGGTCAGGACGCATGCGCGCAGCTAGAAATTTCTAAGCGTTCCATTTTAATCGTTTGAACAAGATCGCGCTACAGTTTAAATTAAAATCTAGTGCCTCTTCATTATTATTACCTACTTTAATTTCAGTTCCACATTATGTAATTTTTTTTATTACCTTTCAACTACAATTTACCAATTTTGTTGCCATTTTATATCAAGTTACGATGATAATTAGCTTTTAGCGGTAAATGACATAATTACTCTTATATCTTTTTATTTATCAAGCAAGAATATGCAAATATTAAAATGTAGTTTTATAAATATATATATATATATATATATATATAAATATATATAAATTCATACTGTATACTATATATAACTATTATTCATGTACATGTTGAAAGTTTACTCTATAACGAGAATATAAATTGTATACTGTACATAAAAAATACTCTTGAAATAAACTTTCAACGATTGAAAAGTAAATTGATTTTATAGTCAAGACATTAGGTACTCTCAAGTAACCCAAATAGGAAGTAGGACAACTCAACATATCTTTTCCGATCTATTTTTATTAGCGTTAAGTTTGGTGTGAAAATAGATTATGTCAAACCGAATAAATTTCAATGCTTTTGTAACTTATAACTTTGTTTATTTCGTATCATAAAACGGTTAAAAGATTAATATAATAAGTCTTTCGAATAAACTTATATTACTATAATTATTAGTAGACAGGATCAATTAAATTCTATTAAGGCTATTGTCGTTTTCTTATATTCCTTTTCTAATAGGATGATATAGCTGAGTTTTCAAATAATTGGTCGGAATTATTCTCTTTACTTTTGTGTCAAATTTTCAAATCAGAGAGAAAGAGGGAGAAGAAGAAAGAGAGATAGAGAGAAGGAGAGAGAGAATTTTTCTAAATGCTAAAGAATTTTAATTAACAACTTAAGTTTCTTGTAAATAGGTCAAAGTATTTTTGTTTGTTTGAGTGACGCCTTTAATGAACCTTAAGCTTCACGTTTATATATATATATGTATATATACACTTATATATATATATATATATAATAAAAAATTCAAAATAGAAAACAAAAAACAGTTAATTTCTCGTACGCACGAATGTATATAAAACAAAGAAGATACGAATATATTCATAAATACGTATAGACGTACCTTAATGCATCATGCGTGTCTTCGAAATTATGAAAATATACAACTACATTGTCAAATATTATCCAGTGGTGACGCCGTTCGCGAATTACTCACTGGAGAGAGCTCACGCAAAAACGTCTTTTCCTCTTCATCGCTGTTAATTACCGTATCATCGACGTCGATTTCGATATCACTTTCCTCTTGATCGGGTGTATCCGGCGCCAAAAGGCTCTCAACATCGAAGAGACGCTTCTTTCTTTTCGACACAGTTTTTATAGCTTTACTTCGTTCTTCTTCTCGTTTTTGAGCTAACATTTTTGCTTGCCATTCAATAACTGCGGGTGTTGGTGCAGGTGGAGGACTTGGTGAGTCTTCGTCATCGGGAACGGCTAGACCCATGTGCTTCCGAACTTTTCTTTGCGCTCGTCGACGCCTAAAATCACCCTTTTGGAAATCTTCTACATTGGCAGGATGTATAGCCCAATAATGGCCCTTTCCATTAGCTGATCTTCCAGCTTTGATAAAACAGTCGTTCAAGCTTAAATTATGCCTGATTGAATTCCTCCAGCCTGGTCCCCTAGTTTGAAAATAAGAGAAATTGTCCAAAATCCACTGATAAATGTCACTTAAAACTAATTTCTTGTCTTTCGATGATAATATTGCCATAGCTATTAGTCCTATATATGAATGAGCTGGTTTTGGTTCTTCCTGATGAAAATTAAAGAATCTTCTATCTTTATGAAAAAGATGCAAATTTTGTTCTATTGGTTGATTAAAAGGATGAGGCAAGGGGAGTGCAGGGTATCTCAATCTGCTGGTGTAATCAATTAATCTTGCTCTATGAAGTTCCAAAGCAGCTTGCGTCATTAGATGGGTAGCTTGAGGCAATGGTCCAGGAAGAGTGTACTTGAAAGAATTTGCGAGAGCATTTGATGCCGCTAAACTCGTATTTGTCATATCGGATGAAGACATGTTCCAACAACGATGATTTAACTCATATTAACAACGTGCGGACTCTCGAGTAGGTGGAGCTTATATGCTGCTCGTTGCTGATTGGTTGAAAATACCGGAGTTGACCTGATTACGTCCGGATGTCAAACGTGCGATCTGAATACACAAGACTAACCGTAAAATGTAATTTGCCAGCGAGGCAAATTGCGCTAGGCCACTATCAAGCAGCGCTTTAATTACTGACACTTTAATTGTTCATGATTGACAGATGGCCAGTGTATTGTTTGACAATTCTCGACGATGGATGCACGCTGGCATACGACGCTCCTTTAAGAAAGAGAAAGTAAATGATTTTCACAGTTTTTTGCTCCCGTATTGGGCAAACAAATAATCGAGGAGAAAGTAGTGAAAACAATAGAGGAGGTTATTTAACTCTATTTAACCGTAATCTAATATTACTGTTAAAACGTCACAAATATGGCAGAAGAACTTTCTTTTTTATGTCAATTTATTGATGTATCAATGTATGCAAATATTTGAAAATGGATCTATATAGTATAAAAAGATAATCTTCTTATTTTTTTCTTTTCATTATTCTGCTTTTAATCGTATATCACGATTAAATATGGTTTGCTTAATGTTGTCTTCTAAATGAACTCTTTGTACGCAATCTAAATTTAAGGGCAAGTAAAGTCACGCGACTTCGAATCGAAACAAAAATTTCTCTTCTAGGTAATTTCATCTGGTTATCAGCATTTCGATACGAAACGCTGGGTATCGTATTTAACAAAGGCGCGTCACATGGATTAATCCCTTTTCCAGTTTCGCTTAACTAAATTAATTCCCAACTAATTGTAACAACTATTCTCTCATCTAAACACGAACGCTTTTTCCCGTTCTTCTAATGTTTGTTTACAAATGCTGGTCAAATAATTGGCACGTATAGACAGCTTGACACCACCTGCAGAGAGCTGGCGTGCATTGAGCTCGCCTGAACGACGGCGCCCTCTGGTGCAGCCTTTGTAAGCATGTCAATCAACCGGTGAAAGGGTAGGACTTTATCTGGTTCAAATGTTTACAGATGTTGCTATTTACTTTAAAGATATTTCCCCCCCACCTCAATGCTAACAAGAAAGTCGAGAGATAGGATCCAAAATTCCAGTTTGAAAACAGTCACCTAAAACTCCATATTTGCAACCCTTTGAGAATTGTCGCTAATTCCTCTTTCAGCTCTTTTCACCCACGATCGTTTACTTTTCGCATATTCTAGAATATAAAAGAACAAAAACGCGTAGGAGATCGCAGGCATTAAACTTTTATTCACTACTACCCCTATTCAAATCAAATTTTAGGCCTAACGACTTTTATAAAAGCCTTTCCTCGCGGTTTCAAGCTTTTGTAGAGGCTCCGCATTCCGCTTAGCCACCACCTTTTCGTCTTCTATTTTTTTATTTTTTTCGCACAAGGGCAGTTGTCCCACTCGTCGTGTGCGAAAAATGGTGAGTTTTTGCAATACATTACAATTTAATCGGTAGTTTTACGTAATCAAATTAGTCAAAGCTATGTAATTAAATTATATAACTTTCAACAGACTCGCCTTACGCGACTCTATTAGAGAGATTTCTCTAATAGCCTCATTTTTTCCAATAGGTCTAGAGTATATCTTTAAAAAAATAATACGTCGTACTTTTATCATATATAGAAATTTTGAATTTCTAAGAAATATGTTAACAATTGGTGTTTTCGGTACAGTCGCAAATACCAAACATTTTTTAGCAGGTATTAGTTATTCTAAGTCAATTTTATTTTGCACCAAAGAACGTCGACTTGAACGGAGGCGTTGTATTATTTGCTTCACTATGTTTACCCTTTACTTATATATTCAAAAAGTTTGGTCAACATTGAAGTAGAATTTTTTTTTTTACAAGTTGGCGATATTTTTTATATGTTTTATTTAAGACAAAATTAAAGTAAGATTTTTTTATTCGTGGGCGCCGCCCTCGATTTTTCATGGCCTTTTAATAAGACATTCTTCCCCCCCTCGACATTAGGCCAGATATTTCATTCTATCTATTTATAAACGGTTATTATATATATATATATATATATATATATATATATATATATTTCATTATATATATTACTATATATATAGCAAATTATTATATATCATATTATACTTAAATATATGAAATAAGTTTGATGAATATGTCCGACATTGATATTGGTAAAACCTGTTCGTGATTTTGAAAGAAGCAGTCATATGCAAATTAGACTGTTCAGTCATGTGTAGAGTGGTCCAGTAGATGCCGCCCTTACGTTTTTTCCTTAGTTTAACTATGTTGAAATTGTCTAGTTATTGGCCAACTCATTTTTTCTTGTATTTTCACAATATACAGTATATTGATTCTACCTGTTTCTCTTTATATGAACTATATTGCTCTTAATTCTTTTTTTACAGAAGGTTGGAAATTTCCTCTTTGCAGTATTGTTTGCTCTTCTAAATAACTTAAATCAAGTCGAAGCCCGTAAGTAGTTTAAGTTATATGATTAAGGCAAAATATTTTGACACGATTAAGAAGAGAGATAGGGTGATTAATGGGAATAATTTTTCGCTTCGAATGCACTCATTTATTAATTCTAAAATTTTATGGTTTAATACTATTTATTCTATTATAATATATATTTTCTATTAATTGGTATTCTCTTCAAGAAACAAAAAATTCAGGTCCACTGATATTTTATTCTTTCATAAGCATGCTTATAAAAACATATGCATTTAAAACTTCTTATTTATTATATTCATTCAGAAACCGAAAATGTAACAAATGGTAAGAGCGCAAAAGCGTTGATTAATGTATTTTGTCTTCTTAGATAAGTGTTCACTTTTATTTATCGAGAATGAATTATTATTATAAATTCTCAACATTTCTTTCTAGATCATATTTCTTAGGGTAAAAGCTGTTGAAATATTTTTATATTGTACTTAACAATATTAAAGAGGGGGTGGCTGTGGGAGTACAGTAGACCAGGGGGTGAAGCGCAATGATATTGAAGTCAGCCGCCCACTTTTCCTGTAATCTGTATTCAAGCTTATTTAAATAGATTTTTGCAAAAATTTTTCTTCCATAAACGTGAATGATACAATTGAAGTACTTTTGTAAAAAAGAGACCCCCAGATTTCTTTTTTTAGTATAAAAATGAAATCGTCACGTAACTCCGTAAATAGCAGATCTCACACTTTTAGCCACGTGGGTGTATCTATTCAATTCTCATGTCTTAGTGGCATTTAGATTGTTACAGCGAAAGTATGAAAATTCTTTATAAATGAGACTCTGTACTATAGAACTAATATTGTTTTTCCTTATAAATTCTACTTATTGTATTATTATTATTAATAGTTATTAGTTCAATAGATCAATTTTTGCAAGTAGGTCATATAACTAACTAAATATACTCATAAATATATTCGTTTATTCTATCTCTGTATTCATCTGTTTGAAATCTTTTTGTAGGATCGGATTACTTTAAGACTATAAATTATTTCTTAAATTAAGTCTTTTAATGAAACAGTTAGGCATAAACTGAAATATAAAGACAGATTAAAAATTTGTAGGCATTAATTACTTTAAAATGTACTAAATGACCGGATTGTTAGAGGGGCACTCTTTTACTCCAGATTTCTTTTGTTATATATATTTCCTTGTGTTATTCTTCTTTAAATTCCTTCGTCTTAGAATTCTTGATAAACGGATGAATAGAGCCTGACTCTTTGCTTAAATCTTTGCCAGACAGTTTTGAAAGATCAAGGTTGTCGAATTATAAATTATTACACATCACGTGATCACTTTGACTCAAAGTCATTCAACCTTAGTATATTCTCACCTGTATAACTAATATTTCCCTAACCCTAAAGCATACAATGCGTACAGAAAGGTCTGAATATGCATATATATATATAGGTTTATAGATAAATACATATTGTATATTTCAACAACATTTGTGACAAACTGTTTAGTCATCGATGAATTTGATTTCATAATGTGGAAATACAATACCTGAATAGAGACAGGAGTAATTTCCACTATTTCTACCTCTTACGACACGCGCCCTTTCGTATGCGTTTTTTTTCTTACTGTAGATGGCACATCTATCAGTAAACAAAATGTTAGATTCATTTATTAAACTGATATTATTTATAATTAGTTGTAATTTTCATGTTTTCTTGAATATCTGTTTTTCCTAGAAATGTATATTTTATTCTTTTTTTTTGTTTAAAAAAAGTGAAAAAATGAATCAGCTGTTTTTGATTTCTTTTGTATTTTTGTCAAATCTTTTATTCAAATCAAATTAACGTACATTATTAAAATATTATTTTTTATCAATTCAGAGTGTGGTCAAGCTGATATCGTTTTCCTTGTTGATCGATCCGGTTCTATAATAAAACCAGATGAAGGCGGTTCGCTGCAGGCTTGGGAGGATGTTAAAAATTCTATTAACTCTTTCGTAGATAGAGTCAATATTGCTGAAGATGAGGTTAATATTGGTGTTGTAACTTTTGCCAATGCTGGAAGACTCCGATTTAATTTAGATGCTCATTACACAAGAGATGGAGTAAAAAATGCAGTTAATAGTCTTCCTGTCCCAAATGGTTTTACAAATACCCAAGAGGGTTTGCAAATAGTACGTGACGAAGTATTTAGGAGACAAAGAAGTTCTAGACAAAGTGTAAGGGATATTTTAGTTATTCTAACTGACGGTCATCCCAATAGAGAAGTCGAAAAAACAGTACCAAATGCACAACTTTTAAAGGATGATGGTGTCGCAATATATGTTATCGGTGTTGGTCAGAGTTTCAACGTGAATAATCCTCCCGCAAAATATACTGTGGATGAAATTAGAAACGCCATCCAGCTCTTAAAAGACATGTCTTCACCACCAAATCAAGAAAACCAAAACTATTTCATTTTGACTGATTTCACTCAAATTTTAAACACTTTAGTTAGAGACATTCTCTCACAAGCATGTCCACCACCAGACACAACAGTAACTCCTATGCCTCTCTATTC